TTTAGATCCAGCGAGAGGAACTTGAAAGGGGGGTTGTGTAATGTACCTTTTCCAATCCCGGGCTGTATATGGAGATTTGGGATTCTTTAAACCGGCGCTACCTGGATTTTATTAAAAAGCGGGGAGCTCGGCGGGAGGAAAGCTGGCTTTTCCGGGGGCTGCGGGAGCCGGGCCGCGGGAGGGCGGAGGAGTTGGCGCGCCGAGCGCTCGGCCCGGGGAGCGGTTTTCTACCAAAAAAAGGAAAGGCGGGCAAAAAGTGTGAGGCGGCTGCGGGTGGCGGAGGGGAGCGGCTGCCGCGGGATGGCGGGCAGCACCGGCGCCTAGCTGCGCCGAGAGTCGGGGCTGCTACCGGAGTCGCTGTCGCTGGAGCCCGGAGCCCGGAGCCCCGCCGCGCCAGGTACGCCGCTGGTCCTCCGGCTGCCCCGGCCGGGCGCGAGGGTCTCCAAACTTTGCAGTTCGCACCCCACCACCCCATCCCGCCTGCCCTTTGGGTTGTGCGAGGGTTCCCGAAGCTGTCCGGCTGATGGGGGCGAAATCGGGGGCTAGGGGCAGAGGGCAAAGGGGGCCCTGGGAAGGTGAGGGCGGACTGCTGTTCCTTGGGCGCCCACCCGAGCCCCCAGTCCGCTACAGCCTGCACCACACAGCCGAGGGGCGTCGGTGCCCGGCAGGCGGCAGAGGCGGGGGAGCCCGGGACGCCGAGACGTTTTCGATTATAGGCTGTTTTTAATTAAAAGCCGGAATTCAGCCATTTTAACTGCATTTAAGAGGGGGAGAGAAGTAGGGAAAACGCAGCGGAGCCTGCGGTTGTCCACGCCAGCTTCTTTACCTTTGCCAGGGTTCCGGGGAGCTTCACCCCGACTCCCTCAAGCTGGGGCGCCTGGGCATGCTCCGAAGCGCTGGCTTTTAAAATAAAGCTTCCCTAAAAACATTATTTAAAGAAAAATCACTGGAAGCTCATCGCCTTCTTGAGACTTGAATCCTCGGATGTGACGATCTTAGATTTTTTCCTAAGTAAACGCGGATCTGGTAACAAGAGCCTGATGCAAGGGAGCGAGGGGGTGTTTGAAACCCAAACCACGTTAAAATAGCCACCCTTAACAAAGTGGAGGAGGAGGCGGGGGGGGATCTGCAGCTAAGAGGGTCTGCAGCTCGAGAGGCTGGGCGCGGAGTTGGGGCGCGGGGCTGGTACCCAAGAGCGGGTGGCTTTGGCGCGATCCGCGGCTCCAGAGAGCCCCGGCCTCCCGGAATCGGGAATCAGAGCTGCCGCAGGCGGGCAGACGGACAGCGAGGGAAGGGTGGGCACCAAGATCCCCTCCCGCCCCCACGGGAATCGGCAAACGACAAATCTTTTAAACAAACAGCTTGAAACTGGAACTACAGGGGGATTTACCCAACGCTGGGGGAGGTGCCCCCCAGCCGGCCCGCGCTGCAAAGGTTTTCTTTGTAGATTATTTTTTGGGGTAGGAGAAAGCTAGGGTAGGATCGAGATCCTTGATCCCCTTCTTTCCCCTCTGACGCCCCCAAATTCCCCGCTCCAGGTCAAGTCCTCGGGCCACAGGATTCCCAGGCTGGGGCGTTGGAAAATGAAACCAAAGCTTGTTTTGAAGGATTCTTTCCAGTCCTCAGGCGAGAATGCCACGTCTCGGGTCCTCGGACTCAGACTCTGA